AGAAACATTACAACATGAAATCTTGACATGTGGTTTTGGTAGGTCCAACTACTTCCAGACAGCTTCTAATATTGTTATAGATCTACACACTATTGCTTTCCGCTACAAGGTCCTGCACTGGGACTTAACATTCATAAAAGGCTCATTTAAATGGAATATATCAGTTCTTTGCTCACTGCGATTCTTGTTGCAAGTGTGCTTTTACAATTGTATTAACTGCCATTATTAGAAAGGAATTATGATATATAATGAATGACCATAATGTGGGATGATTCCCCATGCGGTGAAGGAAGCATACAGTCCTCCGAGCATCCAGAACAAACACAGCCAGCTGAGATGTTCTCCTCTCTTATCCATCTGCAGGAACTCTGCGTAGTACGTGTACACAACAGGGATTGACCCGCCGATCCTGCAGGAGATCATCAGAGACATTAAGATGTCTTAATATCATTTAATGGACAGATCAAATTAAATTTAACCATAAAGCCAGATTACATCTTAGCTGTAATCTACAACAAGTAAACTCTGGTAAATCATTTTCACTTGTGAAATATGAAATAATGCAAAAAGTTTATGTACGCTACCATACTAAAGTTTGGGGTCAATTAGGTTTAAAAAAAATACCTTTATTCAGCAAGGATGCATTAAATGGAACAAAAGTGACAGTAAAGACATTTATAATGTGACAAAATATTTCTGTTTTAAATAAATGCTGATTTGAAATATATATACATCAACAAATTCTAAAATGTTTTACAGTTTTCACAAAAACAACACAACTATTTTCATCATGTTCAGCATATTACAATGATTTCTGAAGGATCATGTGACACTGAAGACTGCAGTAATGATGCTGAAAACTCAGCTTTACATCACAGGAATAAATTACATTTTAAAATATATTCAAATAGAAAAACATTATATTAAATTATATTAATATTTCAAAATATTACAGTATTTTTGATCAAATAAATGCAGCCTTGGTGAGCATTAGAGACTTATTTCAAAAACATTAAAAAGTGTTATCGACCCCAAACTTTTGAACGGCAGTGCATATGCATAAATGAATCCCTGCTGCTTTTGGAGAGTCTCACCCGATTCCTGAGCAGAGTCTGAAGAAGATGAAGATCCCGTAGCCCTGTGCAAAACAGGACAGGAAGGAGAAGATGGAGTTGATGGCCAGTGCGTAGAGTAAACACTGTCGTCTGCCCAGTTTATCAGCCAGACCGCCCCACAGGACAGCTCCGATCATCATCCCCACGTACACTATTAAACCTGAACACACAGAGCCAGACAGTCAGCTACCGAGGAACAATAACACAGCAAATCATAGCAAAATGAATACTCGAACTGATTTGAAAACCAAATGTTAAAAACAAAAGTTTCTAGCATTTTTGTCTTTTTTTTTCTTTCATTTTTGTCCGGGTTTGGAATAATATGAGGATGAATAAATGATGACAGAATTTTAATTTTGTGTAAAATATCCCTATAAGGTATAGTATTTATTAGTATGGACAAATTTGTGATCTTTATCACAATCAATATTTAACAAAAGCATCAGAATATCACACCCTGTCTCTGTCTCTCTTAGTCTGTAGTCAGTAGTCTGATACTCTCTCGCTCTCTCTCTCTCGCACACACACACACACACACACACACACACACACACACACACACACACACACTGTCTCAAACAGCTAATTAGAGAATGGGATAAGTGATTATCAGGCACGTGACAGGGATTGTGAACCTCACTGTGGATTACACACCGTACTAGACAGCAGACAACTTTCATCCCTGATTGAAACTTTGCCTGCTCTTCCTTACTATGGCACGTGATCAAAGAAACATTCTCATTCGACCTGTGCTGTCTGTCTGTCACCAACACCAAAAATAGTACAGGAAGATATACTTCAGGGTGTCCATGGGATCTGATGTCTGCTTGAAAATAAAGAAAATATTCAAATTTTGATTAGCAATACTTGGTCAGAATCTAGTCTCAAGCAATAATTATATTCTAACGTTCAAAAGTTTATCAAAAATATAGCAAAAGCAGTAATATTATGAAATATGATTACAATTAAAAATGACTGTTTTCTATTTAAATATATTTTAAAATGTAATTTATTCCTGAGATGGCAAAGCTGCATTTTCATTCTAACATGCTGAATTGGTGTTTAAGAAATATTTCTTCTTATTAAATGTTGAAAACATTTGTGCTGCTTATTAGTATTTTTCAGGATTCTTTGATGAATGGAAAGTTCAAAAGAACAGCATTTATTTGAAATAGAGTTTTTATAACATTATAAAAGTCTTTATTGTCACTTTTGATCAATTTAATGCATCCTAGCTGAATAAAAGTATTAATTTCATTTAAAAAAGTCCCAAACTTTTGAACGGTACATATATATATATATATATATATATATATATATATATATATAAATCTCTGGGACATCTAGAAGCACCGCAGTGTAGATTTGATTCTTCGAAAGTATGTGAGAGCAGGAGCATTTACATTTCCTATTATTTTCCCAGCCCAAAAATATTTACTCCACATTTTGTATTTAGCTCAGAAAACTCTGCGTTGAACATAAGTCTAATTAGGCCGTTTAGGCCGTGGTTTTATATATATATATATATATATATATATATATATATATATATATATAAATCTCTGGGACATCTAGAAGCACCGCAGTGTAGATTTGATTCTTCGAAAGTATGTGAGAGCAGGAGCATTTACATTTCCTATTATTTTCCCAGCCCAAAAATATTTACTCCACATTTTGTATTTAGCTCAGAAAACTCTGCGTTGAACATAAGTCTAACTCTTTAATTGGGCTTTCCTACAAACAAAGACCTATCAAATTGATTTTGTCTGATCAGAAATGAAGCTGATTCTGATCCCCACTCCTTCACTCACCCAGCATGCCCTTGTCAGCATTCGACAGGCACATGTCCTTCTCAGCACTGGGCAGGGCGAAACTCACTACGAAGCACTCCACCCCATCAGCCATCAGGGCCAGACCCAGCACCGTGAAGAGGGTCCACTGGAAGCGGCCGTGACCGCAGTCTTCCATGATGGACTCGTATTGCTCAGGCAACGTTTCCTCCTCGACCTCAGCTGCCATCCTGGCCTTCATGCGGGCCTCCCTTCGGGCGGCTCTCCGTGCCTCCTTGACCTCGTCCGGATGAGGGATGCCTTGGTACTCGCCCTCGTACATCTGCTCATCTTCATCATGCCCCTCTGTGTCATCACTAGCAGCATCTTCCTCCTCCTGAGGAGGGTAGTCTGTCTGATAGGGGTAAGTGTACTCTCCTCCTCCATATGTGGGATACGTTTCTCCCTGCTGGTTTATATTGTTTTGGTAAGAGTCATCCATTTTGGCTTGAATTTGTTATTTTCTTGAAGACAAAAATAGCTAAATTAGCATAATCGTAGCAGAGTCTTTGGTGACAGTTCCAAATCCAAAAAAGGTCTTAAAATATAAATTGCACCTGACTTAAGTTAAGGCCTCAGTATTTATGACAAATGAGTTAGTTCCCTTTGGTTGGTCCTACACAAGGCCACATGCTGAACCTGAAAGAAAAAGAACATTAGTTAGAAAAAGTTAACAAGTTTGGGGAAAAAATAAGTTCATAAACGTTATGACCCACCTCAGGGTAGATTATACATTTAATTTTACATGAATGACAACCAGGCTGTGTGACATAATGTAGTCCATTCAATGGCATGCTAGGTTTGGAAAAAACAAATGCAATTCCATTGACAAATAAATTTTTAAAAATCTCGCAAACTTGTTTACACACAAACTTGTATTGACTTTTTCTTTTTGCGTGTGTGTTTGATTCACTAAAAAGAGTCTTAGTCATGCTGTATGTTTGATTCACTGAAAAGAACCGACTCGTTAATAGTCATTCATTCTGTAATCGAATTTCACTGGTCATGAAGGAGTAAACTCTTTCTGTACTGTATACTGTATACACCTAATTTTACAATGCGGAAGTAGCCTAAGCAGTTTTCTGTGAACGTGCGAGACTTCCGCTTCATTAGCCGCGGCAGGGAAATAATGAGAAGAATAACAAAAAAGTGGAAAATTAGAGTATTGTCCATTTATTTTATGATTGCATTTATACAAAACTATTTTGGAGTGATTTGGCTTTTTTGTAAAGATTGAATTGCAACTAAAAAAAAGAGGATGTTTTATTATTTTTATGAGTATACTGTTGACTTCAAAATTTGGTATATTGCTGTGCTTCTCAAAGTCTGGACCCGCCTCCATTTCGTATTTCAAGAGCACTAATTATTTCCTACTTTGATAAACGCATGTTAAACTTGTAAATCATTTGTTGAGTTTTTTAATTGGAGATGGTCCGAAATGAAAGCGAAGGCGAGATATTGAAACTTTTCCTTCATGACATTTGTTGTCATGACATCCAGTGAGCGTATGACGTTTGACATAATCGGGCGATATTTCACCGCTAATATGAGTAATTTTTATGTATGTTATCACTTAGATTATGGCCATTTGACTTATAGTAGTGTCCAGTGTTTCACGTACATTGAGTTATTTGCAGTATAGCATCACATAAGGGAATAAGGCAGTGGCCCCAAAGTATTTGGACATTTAAGTGACACTTAAAAAGAATGTAATTAGACAACAAAATACACACACTTAAGTAAACCTACTTGTCATCGAACTATTTGATCAAAACGTTTTAAATAGTGAATATACTTTTTAATGAAGACCGTTAGTCGGACCATTTTTATTTTTTTTACAGTGTAGATAGTGTAGAGAATTGGACACTTTATGGTTGTAAAACACTGACCAAATACGTTCAGGTGCCATTTTGCAAACATATAAGCACTGAGGTGTATGTGCTGTCAATAACTTTTGAAATGTTTACAAACAATGGTTACATTCAGCACAAGACAATAATCCCACACTCTCATTGGTCAAGACCGGACCTCATTATAAGCCCTCTACTTATCCATCCCAAGCAATTTGATCTGACCACGCCAGAGACAAGACATCCTGCTCATTGCATGCCTGAAATCAAAGCATTTTATATTGAACAGTTTTGCGCACCTGATGAATAAATGTCATGATGACAAAATGTGTCTGCTTTTATGGCAATGCACACTTTCATATGTGTCTATTTAGCAATGGATCAATACATTGACAATATCAAAATGTCTAAGTACTATAAAGACAGACTGCTTATCTTGTGCCCTGACATATGTCGTATTTTCTCCCGCTTTCCAAATTAGAGCTATGATTTAATCCAACTCAAAAACAGATGGATTTTATTCATTCCCAGAAGGCCAGATTAAATTTGGAGGGTGATGAACATGTCTCCTGATGAAATAATCAAATGTTTGAAGTATAAGAGCAAAACAGATCCATTGATTTTACTGGTTTGCAAAGAAAACACTTTTTTCAACACTTAAAAAAACAACCCATTCCCAATTGTCCCTTGCCCAAACATTAAAAGCAGTAGAAAAGTGATTACTGAGATCACTGAGAGTATCCCGTCTCAACCTTGTCATAGTGATCTGACGGCCCCAGATGGGCATTACGTAACGTTAGACTTGCACTGTGACAAAATGTAGGGACTGTAGGGACTGTTAAGGGATTAGATCATAATATTCATCCATTTACAATGTTCTGAATGCCATCTGTATTTGAAACTAGTATGCACATACATATCCTGGCACACTATCAGATATATATATATTGAATGTACATTCAAATTTCATGTAGTTTACATTTTAAATTTCAATTAAAATATTAATCATAATAAATAATGACAATAATTTATGAATGAATAATAATAATAATCATAATTTATTTGTTTACATTTTAAATTGCATTTAAAACATTAACCAACATTACTATATCTAACATCTGAAAGCTAAACTGAAATCAATAATTAAGTGTTTACACAATCTTCCCACTAAGTTAATTTGTGACATCCTCTCCTATCCATAGATGGCTGAAAGTGCACATGGTGTGGGCAGGTCTTTAGTGATGTCACCAGGAGGAGACGGTACCTAATAGAGGGCAAGTCTGAAGGGCATGTTTGCTTAAGCATGTCACCTGTTGCCTCTGGACAACGGCAGTCACCTTTAACCCTGTGTCAACATACTTTATTCAGACATACTTGGGCATTTTAATTGTTTGTTGTCATAATCTGACATTGATGTTTAATAAAATATTTCAATATTTGTAAAATTTCACCACTCAAACTTTGCAACATTTCAGTCAGAAACTTCCTCAGGCATAGTACAAAAGAAAAAACAATGTATGTTTGGATTTTACAAGTCTTTTTTTTTTTTTAAGACAAATTATTATAATATATAATGGTGTATCAGACTGCAAGTTGTCGTAAAGTTAAATGTAAGAAAAAAAACATGCTTGACATATTTCAATAGCTATTTCATTTTAGAGCTATTGTCATTTTGCAATCTCATTGGAGGACAGATGGGAGCAAAAATGTCAATGGCTAAAAGTCAATAAACAATCTGTTGTACACAATGAAAGGCAATGTGTTATAGCTCTTTGCATCAGATTTATAGATCTGCAAAATACTAGCATGCAACAGTCACTTTCATATGGTAATTCTAATCTCTGCTTATGGTTTTCATTTTACTGTTGTGATCCAACCGGATGTATAGTCAAATATCGTGATCTGTCATTTGTAGGACTACTGACATTTAAAGTTGAATGTGAAGCATTCGCCAAATGCAGGCATTATTTAAAAGCACAGGCTTTGAAAGCAGTTTTAAAATGGCTTACAATCCAAATGAAATGACATGAACTTACCAGAATTATTATTCCTTTATGTTTGATGGCGTTCAACATAAATCCAAAGGAAAAGTCCTGGCAGAGTTTCAGAAGGCAAGCCCTACATGTCACCTTAACAGGAAGCTGTTGGGCAGACCAGAGGATTATGGGTCGACCTCATGATCAGCACCTCCGGCTCATCCAGATGGATTCTCCCTAAACTTGATGCTGCCAGACCAAATGGTAGAATCCAGTTTAAAGAACACATGCTGGACCGAAGCAGATGTTATAGCATGTTTTGGGGTGGAGAATACTGTCAAATCATGTATGCTAAAGACATTACCTCACATGCTTATGCCATTGATGCTATGCTATAAATAATCACAGAGAAGTTATTGAATGAGAAAATATAACCTGAACATATTTTGACTTATTCATTCAGATACAGCACAGACTATAGCCTTTGAATGGCCAAATTTATAATTTAGCTTTCATAGCCCCCACAGTGCAAGCAAACATTTTTTCTAAACCCTTATTAACATGTTCTTTCAGGACACGGAAGATTGCTGACATCACTTCCTTCTCAGACTGACATCAGTGACATATTATGGGTTAATTAGCTAAAGTAAAAGGTCCTTTTCCACCCAGTTTTGTATGGCCTGCTCTGGGACACTAGTATAGAGGGTAGATGTCTTGCATGCAGTAAAGCTGCCTAATCCCACAGCCAGTAATTCTGCTGCAAAGAGGATTAGCTCCACCCCAACAGAACCATTGGCTATTTTTAGATCACATATTCCATGTGTTTTCTCCGCTTGCTCTGCCTCTTTACTTTCCCCTCCCACCAATTCATCTAACCTTCCTAAGTGAGCAGTTGATCTACAGCAGGGGTGGGGAACGTTGATCCTGGAGGGCCGGTGTCCCTGCAGAGTTTAGCTCCAACCCTAATCAAAAACACCTGAACCAGCTAATCAAGGTCTTCGGGATGCATTTAGGTTTTTTTTTCTAGGGTTTTTCAGGGTTGGAACTAAACTCTGCAGGAGCGTGGCCCTCCAGGATCAACGTTCCCCACCCCTGATCTACAGTAAGCCCAGCTTTACCTCCACAAACCCTTAGTTTAACACAGTTGTTCTCAAACCTTGTCAAATGGCAGACCACTTAATACTCCACATTTTAATTAATCCATACTTTTGCTAGTTTGATTTTATGTCATTGAATATAACCAAACTTTTTAGTTAATTTAATTTAATCTTTGAATCATATGTATTAAGGGCTCCACTAATCCCTATTATTCCAATGTAATTTAATTGTTATTAATTTAATTTAATTTCATTTTTGAATCACAGGTAGGCCAATTAAAGTTTCCACTAATGAATCCCTTAGGTGGGTTTGGGTGCCCACATTTCATTAATTTATTTTTGAATTATTATTATTAATAATACCATTATTAACATTCATTTAAACATTTTTATTTTCTAACATTTTGCCAGAGTAGGCCTACATTTAACAAGGATCAGCTGTCTGTAAATGATAGTGTAAGGAAGTAGGGGGAAACATATTTAATTGAATGACAGTATTTGACTGTTTGTGTTGGTGTCATGCTCGGTCAGTCTTCTTCTGTCGATCTTGTT